TGATGGCAGCAGCACAGCTGATATTTCTCTCCAGGATGGAGTCACAGCCAAACAGGAACAGACCAGATGAAGCTACTATGAGAAAAAGCAGAGAGAGCAGAACGTTAGAGATTGAACTAATAGATTCTGCAGAGTGGGAGAATAGAGATAGAATGAAGCAGAATGATGAAATAGGGGTCCCTATGTCCTCCAGCAGTCTAAGCCTATAGCAGCAGAACTATAGAGATAGCTCAGGATAACCTGCGCCACTCTAACTATAAGCTTTATCAAAAAGGAAAGTTTTAAGCCTAGCCTTAAAAGTAGACAGGGTGTCTGCCTCACGGACTAAAACTGGTAGTTGGTTCCACAGGAGAGGAGCCTGATAACTAAAAGATCTGCCTCCCATTCTACTTTAGAAATTCTAGGAACCACTAGTAAACCTGCAGACTGAGAGCGAAGTGCTCTGTTAGGAACATAAGGAACAATCAGATCTCTGATATCAGATGGAGCTTGGCCATTTAAGGCTTTATATGGGAGAAGGAGGATTTTAAATTCTATTTTTTTACTTCTTTACTTTTACTCTTATTTACTATTGTAATTATTTACGATTCTCTTACTATTTACAAGTTTTCCAATTACATTAAAGTTAACTTGCTATGAAGATGACAGAGCCTTTTTTTATTAAATTTTTGGATTCTGCCTAATTTGTGGACCATTATCATCCAATTCACAAGAAAGAAATAACATCAAACTTTTGCACAATATTAAAACCTTTTGAGCTTTTCGGTAAATTAAAAAATGTCTTCTACTGAGCTGGCTTTTTAGAATAAAAGCACTGTTTGAAAATAAAAAGCTCCAGGCAGATAATAAAATAATAAAGTTAATAAAAAAGTTATTGGTGTAATATTCTTACCTCAATCTGAAAAACTCACACGAAGAGAAAAGACAATAAGGAGAAATTTATAGATACAATTACTTAGTCTTTGGCGCTCAGACCTCGGCTGGAAACATAGCTGTGAATTTTGATAGATATGCATAAACAGGAGTAAAGAACAGGGCTGTTTCCCTGCAGGCCTGAAACTGGTGGTGGAGTGGAGATAGATGAAGTTGGTCAGTCTGTAGACTGCTGGTTAGAGAGAGGGTCTGCTGAGCTTTATGGGGAGATCCAGTGGACTGCATGAGCTGATACTAGAGCTTCACTCAGGGACCTGGAAGATGGAAGTCCAGCTTGGATAACAGAGGTTGAGAGAACCTGTCCATGATGAGCAAGCATGAAGCGACAGTGGAGAGGAAAAACTCCCCGTTGGGAAGTAACCAGAACCAGGCTTGACATGGTGGTCTTCTGCCGGACTGGTTAAGATGAAACAGGGAAGAGTCGGGGAGGAATGACGCTCTGATGACGTTTTAGCTACGATGGTGGAGGAGGGGATGGAGGTGGGTTGAAAACGGGGTCATCTGAATGAAGTCACAACGCATCCACCGCCTGCTCACAGGAGCAGACGGGTGCCTTTTAAGATGAAATTGGATGCAGATTGGCTTTGGTGGAGGTGTGGTTCAAAGCTTATTGGCTGTGTCACAGGTGGATGTATGAAAAGCAAGGCGTTTCTTCAGGTGAACTTCTGCCTAGGCTCCATTTTAAAAGTCATGTTTTTATAGAAGCAGATTATTGCATAAAACCTTCAGTCTGGATCCAGTTGATCTACAGAATGTGTTTTAGTACCAATTTAGTGCAGGACAATTAACTGCATTTGCAATATAATCGCAATTTAGAAAAACGTAATTTTCAAAGCAAAGGCTCCTGACTTTAGTCAAGATATCAAAGAGGACTGAGTCACTCCGTATGATTAAAGTGGCTATGCCGCCACACAAAAGGGAAGACAGAGCTGCAACTAGATTAATTCATTATATTAAAGGGAAGAACTTGCTTGTGCAAATCTTATGGTAAAATCCTAAAAGACTGGATCCTGGACAAGCAGACATGTGAGGTCATGAAAAAACTGAGAACCTGGTGTAAAACATGGACATGGCTGTGCTTAGTACAACGGTTTATTGCAATAAAATCTGGTGTTGCATCGATACCGATACCAGTATCAGGCAGGGCTCCGATCCAGCTCTCAAAAGGTGGTATCGGCGACTACCAACAAATAGGCCACTGATACCATTTTGAGAACCAAAACTTTATTCAACTATTGTAGGAAATAAAAAGTTCTACTGGATTCACTTTGTATTAGTCTTTTTCCTGCTTTACAAAGGTAGGCAGCAGCTTGACATGATGGCAATTATTTTACATCCAAGTAGTCTGCAGTTTTTCATATATGAACACACATCAATTTCAAACAGATGGTATCGGTATGGTATTGGCCAGAACAGCACAGCCAGGTATCGGGGCCAAAAAGTGGCATCGGCGCAACACTAATAAAATCTCAATATTGGTTGAAAATAATCGCAATTTACATTTTTGGCAAAATCCAAAAAAAATACTTTTCAATAATAATTGACCAAGTAGGATAATTTATTGGCTTATAAACTGTATTTATACCATAACACAGAACTAGAAGTGAACCAATAGATAGAATATAGAAGACTAAATGTTCACCATGAAGGAAGAGCCTCCAAAGGAAGCCATGTTGCTCGGTTCCTTCCCAGCTCAGGGGCCCCTGCATTTGAAAGCTATACGGCTATGCAAAGGGACCAGCTAAGGGTCACTGCTGGTAGCAGACTGGCTGAAACTTCATTACTGAAGATTTGATACACGAAAAGTCCCAGTGCTTTTCTATTCCATGACTTTCTAAGATCCTAGAAACGTAGTAAATAGAACATGCAACATGTTTTAGAACAAACATGAAAGATAACCCAGAGACCATTGTCACTACCTGCGCATGCACAAACAGAATAGTAAGATCCGGATCGCAGAAAAACTAGGTAATAACGGTACTGAAAATACTTATAACATTGAACAATGCTAAACTACATTGTATAGAAAATACTGAAGACTTTTCTGGAAGAAATGGATTTGATCAGTTTTACATTCTCTCCATTGTATTGCATGGTGTCATCATCGGACCAACTCAGAGCAGTCACGGTACCGTTCCAAAGGCTATTTAACTGTTTTGCTTTTTTAGTTTTTAGAAGAATATGCGGGAACCCCCGCTAGAAAATGACAAAAGAATAAAAAAGTAAGAAAAACTATGGGCCGGATCTATCAAAGGTTTGCGTGTATTAAAACATGAGCTATTTCACTGCGCACGCTAAAAAATGTACAAACTGATCTGAGCTCCTGAGCTATCTCTATAGTTATGCTGCTATAGGCTTAGACTTTTGGAGGACATAGGGACCCCCATTTCATCATTCTGCTTCATTCTCTCTCTGTTCTCCTATTCTGCAGAATCTGTTAGTTCAATCTCTAACCTTCTGCTCTCTCTGCTTTTCCTCAGAGTAGCTTTGCCTCGTCTGTTCCTGTTTGGCTGTGACGTCATCCTGGAAAAAAAACATCAGCTGTGCTGCTTCTATCAACACCCTTGTTAATAGATGTTGGAGATCGGCCTGTTTTCCAGTGTGGTCCTGTTTCTCTGACCGTGACTGAGTGGATGTGCTCTCTTCGTCCTCTGGCATGGGAGCTGCCTTGGAGCTCGTCTGCCTGGCTGTGTGTTTCCTGGACGGGGCCGCCTTTTACAGCTGCTTTTTGTATCTCTGCTTCTGTCTCCTTGAACCCCAGTCGGCCTCAGCAGATGGCCGCTCACACTGAGCCTGGTTCTGCTGGAGGTTTCTTCCTGTTAAAAGGGAGTTTTTCCTCTCCACTGTCGCTACAAGCATGCTTAGTGTGAGGGATTGTATTTGAGTCAATGCAATCAACTGGTTTTCCTTAGATAGAAAACTTTGTATCAATTTGACTGTATGATCTGGTTGAACTGTAAAGTGCCTTGAGATGACATGTGTTGTGAATTTGGCGCTATATAAATAAACTGAATTGAATTGAATTGAATCTATCAACAGCGTGCTAAAAGGATTTGGTCTTTAAAATGTGCTAAATAGCGCCTCTTATCCATTTAGTACTTTTTCTGCAATGAATATGCAATATGGAGCGTTTACACGCAAAAGTGCGTCTTGTGGGAGGAGAACATGTAAATATATTAATTTAGCACTCGCAAAGTGATTTATTAAACCTGAAAGCAATTTTGCTAACGGTATCTGACTCTATATTTAACACGTTTCAAAAGAAGGTGCAAATGGCAGCGGTTATTGTTGCAAGAAGGAGACATGGAAATGAAGCAAGGAGACGCAGAGAACGCATTTTTTCACTCCTTGTGAATATTTTTGGAATGAACGAGGAAACGATCATCAAAACATTTAGTTTATCCAGCATTGCCATTTTGGAGCTGCAATTCCAGTGATTTGCTCCTCACAGAGCGTCAGCTGTACTTGTTCCTCAATGCTGGTCAGAGGCATCTCATCTACTGTGCCCCCTCCTCTTTTGTTCGCAGATGTTTTGTTATATGCCAGTTTTTCTTTGGTTCGCCTTCTAATATCCTGGTATCTTCTTTTTTACTTCATCCACTGTTCGCAAGGTTTCACCAACAGCGTTTACTTTATTACAGATTTGTTCACATATAGCTTTCCTCTGTGTGACAGGCACACTTCTTTGCTGTAGCTCACTTAAATGTTTGTTGGCTTTATCCAACAATACCTCCATTTCCATGGGGTCGAATTTCCTTTTGCGCCTTCTGCTGTCCAAACTCGCCATGCCGCAAACCACAAAACGCGCAAAACCATCATTTAAATAGGGCGTCTCCAACAGTTTTGCACCTGCCACCAGTTACGCAATCGCTCTTGTTAAATCACCCGCAAACCATGGTTCAGCCCCTCGCGCAAAATTCCAGTTTGCGAGCGCAAATTACTGCACGCAAAATTGGATCTTGATAAATCCGGCCCAAAGTATTTCCTGCCTGGAAGTTATTCTGTTTGCACGTGCATAGGATGGATCAGGTAGTGACAACCACCACCATGAAGAAAAGACTCAAACATTTCAGGCATTGGTTTTTATTATTTAGTTTCCCGCACAACAAATTAGGTGTGATATTTCTCAAAGTCTCTCTGTTGAAGGCAATTTATCTGGAAATTAAAGTGATCAGAGAGAGTGGTTTAAAATTCCTTTGGGGAGTTTTTTCCCTTTAAATAAAAAATTTTAAGTGTAGATTAGTTTACAAACTATGAACATATAAAGCATCAGAAATAACAAACTTAAAAAACTGATTCAATGAACTTCTATGGAAAATGGGGATTTCTGCAGCATCCTGGAAACTATGATGGTTTTAGAAGGTCAAGGTTTTCAGGTTCCCCTCTGGACCGGGTCAGGACCAGCGAACCAGAACCTGGTCTCCGTTCTCTATGGAGTAGAACTGCAGCGTCTTTAAGTCGCTGTCCAGGTCGAACTCCGTCCCCGACATCTGAAAGGACAACAGCTTGTTAAAGCCGCTGTAGGAACCAGATCTCCTCAGGGCCAAGCCCCTGCTGATAACATCACAATACGCCCTCAAACAAACAGCACTGCACCCGTTTCAAATGATCATCACCTGCTGATATTTTACATTTCCATTCCACTAAAGTAGCCGAAAGTAGAACTAAATGGGCAAGCTCTGCGTTCTGAGAGAGACTGAGCTGTGATATTTACCAAGACAAAGCCTCAGTACTTCTATTGATGAAGATCTGAGGGCAGAGGACCATAAACAGTGAAAAAAGGGACTGGAGATTTTAGACAAAGAAAACAAACAGCTGCTTTACTTGGAGAAAATGAACAGTTGTTGTTGACATGCCGTTACTGAGCGAGCAGAAAGAGGCTAATCTGTTAGCTACTGAGCACAGCTAGCCAAAGCGCTACCCAGGTCAGCCTTTAAACCACGCAAGGGCGGATCAGGAAATCTGGGGCCCTCGGCAAAGACAGGCAGGGGCCCCTCTAAACTGAGAAAACAACACATAAAACGGACCCATTATCCAGATGTAGAAATGTTAATAGATAGACATCCATTATCTGTTCTAGGTTGTGTCCCTCTCTTCTTGTTTTCCTCTATATGTTTTGTACTCAGCTGACTTTTCATGCTGTCTCTAAAGGAATGAAAGATTTTTTCCAAGCACTAAGCTCACTTAGCTGATTGCTCCTTCCTGTGTTTCCAAAAAGGCCAAAGTAAATAACCCAGTCCTTCTTTTCACTGTAGACAAGCCATGATCTGCTTCTCTGTTCTCCATTTTTCATTTGGATGAAATAATAGCTGCATGAATCATGACAGCAGACAAGATAGAGGAGAGCAGGAGGCGGGGTTACCAATCTACTCGCTCTGGAGAGCAG